CATAGTTACCTGTACGGGCGACGGCAGCGCATAAGTGTGGGAAACAGTTTCTCCGATTGGTGCGACACAACTGCCGGAGTACCGCAGGGTGGCGTTTTGTCTCCTCTCCTTTTCACTATCTTCATTAATTCAATTACTCTTCCTCTCTCTTCTTCCTATCATATGTATGCAGACGATTTCCAAATTTATACACAAGCACCTATAGAGGGACTGTCCAAGGCAATTGCCACCCACTAACGTAGATCTTCAGCAATATTTCTGAATGGAGCCGACGTCATGGTCTGGTAGTTAACCCACCAAAATCTCAGGCAATAATTATCGGAAGCCATTGGTATTTGGTCAGGATAAATTTATAATACGCTGCCACCTATCCTCTTGAATGGTGATTGTATACCAATTTCAAGACAGCGTTAAAAATCTTGGTGTGTTTTTCGACTGCAATTTTTCGTGGAGCCATCACGTTCGTGAGGTTAGTAGGAAAGTGTTTGGTGCATATAGCTCGCTCAAACGACTCAAGAATCTATTGCCGACTAAGACAAAAATCACTCTTGCGCAATCCCTGCTTCTCCCACTGCTTGACTATGCTGATTCCCTGTTATTCTGATCTAAGTGTCATACATCTAAATAAGCTTGAGCGTCCTTCAGAATTTATGTATCCGTTTCATCCTTTGGTCTACGCAAGTATGACCATATCTCTGATATCTCGTACCCAACTTCAATGGCTAACCTATCTCTCGTAGAAGAGACTGTCACATCCTATCGCTTCTTTACTCCATTCTTTTTAATCCTCAAACACCGCAATATCTTAAAGATCGCTTCGTTTTTCACTCTTCTAATTCTCTCCGAGATTTGAGGTCTTCCCATAACCTTTCCTTAGTGATCCCTCCTCATACTAACTGATTTTGTAGCCAAGTCGTTTTATATCAGAGCTATCAAACTGTGGAACTCACTGCCGGTAAATATCAGATGCGCACAATCACGAGAGTCCTTTGTTAAATATGTCAAGGAACATTTCCTCAAGCTGGATTCATCTTCCTGAAATTGAATTCTGTTTTGTGTTGTTTTATATATCTATATATATATATATATATTTTATTATATTAGTATATGTATTTACTTTTAAGAATTTTCACATTCATCTTTCTTTAATACACTTGCCCGCTGTCTCTTTACTCAATCGGTATAGCTTCTTTTAGTCAAGGGTAGCCTGGTAGAGATTGCTACTTTAGCAATAAGGCCGCCTTTTGCATCGATGTTTCTAATAAAAATTGTTTTCATGTTTATGTGTTAATGGGCAATAAAGTATATTCATTCATTCATTCATCAGATCTTGAAGTTGCTACAGTATTTGAAAATGTATTTACTGAAATTCCAGTCTTAATTACACAATCTTTGAAATTCCTCTTCCACTGTTGCTGAATCTATTTTAAAGGCAAGTTTAAATAATTGTAATAGCCAATTTAAGTTTCAACACGTTGATTTTAAAGATATAATAAGATCTTTTAATCAGCTAAAGAAAACGAAAACTGCTTATATAAAGGTTCTATCGTCGTTTATGGGTCAAGGTGTACACTACTATATCAAAATTCCTATGGAAATTTTAAATTTACCATTACCTAAGTTTAAAACCCATATTAAGAATTGTCTACTCAGTAAAGGATATTATACTGTTACTGAATATTTAAACGACAAAACTGCTTGGAGTTAAATATGGCTCATTTTTCATATATATTAAATTGTTAATCGGTGAGCTTCTTTGGCTACAAATGTGATTGGATTGACGAAAATACTGTTTTACTCTAATATTGTGTAATATTGTAATGGAAAGTGACTTCAAATTTTTGATAAAATCATTTTTCAATCTTGACGCTCTGTATGAAATAAAACAGGGAGAAAAAAGCAGCCCTTGCCGAGTTTCTTGCCGATTCTTCTCGGTACAAGGTCTCCCGCCGTAGATTTACGAACCGATGGCGTAGCTCTCGACTTTCACAAGTGCTTGTAACAGCCTAGACTGAATAAATGTTTTTGATTTTGATTGAGAAACTCGGGTTTCTAATGTGTCAGTAAGGTTCTGTAGATTAATTGCTTTGAAGTTTTGTTATTTTTTTCATAAAACCGTGTCATTTTCACGAAACAATAAAATACGGACTTATACAATGATATTAATAATCTAAATATCTCGCTTATTCTTAGTTTAAATGATAATTAAATAAAGGTTAGTTGTAATGGAAAGGTCTAATAATAAATGCTATTTCTTTTCTTTTCTTAATTTAATCCATAATTTTTTTTTTTTTATGCCTTATAATTTTGTTAATGACTTGATCTTAAATTAGGTAACTACTTCCACTTTTAATATTATGGCCCTTTTTTCTTTTGTAACCGTGAAAACCGTAAATAAAATTGTAATAATAAGTAAACAGCCTAATTATCAATTTCGTCAGTAAAAAAATAGTATGATAAGTTACTTTGAAATTTCATTGTTTAATAAAATAAAAACATAACGATTTTTTGTTAGGTAGGTTACCTAACACAGAATTTGATGACGCGGAACCCTAAATCGGTGCACTTTTGATTTAGGTACCTACATTGGTGTCTGACATAGGTACTGGTGCTGGTGTTTTCTCGGAGGATCTAAATATCCACATTTCCACGGCACTGGGAATCTACAACACAATATTCCAGGCTGAATGCGTGGGTATATTAATGGCTGCTGAGGCAATTATAATCCGGAGAGTAAAAGGTAAAAATATCCGTATTCTCTCTGATAGCGCATCGGTATTACAAGCTTTAAATAACAATATGATGACATCAGGTCTACTGCACGAATGTCACTGTAAGTTGACAGAGGTATGCATAAGAAATAAACTGACCTTACAATGGATTAAGGGGCACAGCGGGTCAAGAGGAAATGACGCGGCAGACAGCTTGGCCAGAGAAGGGTCAAGCAGAAAGCCCATTGGACCGGAACCCATTATACCCATTCCATTTCGACAGCTGAGAAACTGGGTAAGAGAACGCTGTCACAGACAACACGACGAATACTGGACTCAAACGACTGACTGCAGGCAAGCCAAAGAAGCAATCCCCAAGGTAGACCTGCAACTGGCACGTAAGTTAATCAAACTACCTAGACAAACGTTGAGACTAATAGTAGGTATACTAACTGGTCATGGCTATTTTAACAAACACTTATATAACATGGGTATCTCTGACAGTTCTCTGTGCAGGGCATGCCTGGACGCTGAAGAGACAAGCGCTCACGTACTACTGGAATGCAGGGGCGTTTCAGGACATAGGACTACACATCTGGGTAGCCCACAGACATTAAAGGAGGCTTGCGGCAAAGTTAAAGGACTCATGGGCTTCCTGGAGGAGCTGGGGTGGCAGGACTGATGCAACCCCATCATTCACGCAAAATAGGCACAAGGTGTCGAGTTGCGGAAAAGCCCGCCGCACAACATAACATAACATAACATAACATAACCTACATTGGTGTTCGAGTTGCAATAATTACCTTTGTAGTTGTGGTCATCGCTTCAGTCGCGTCGGAGACTTTCATCGGCATACTTGTGAGTTTTTAGAATTTAGAAGGTCAACTTACGTTTTCGTTTTTTCGGGACTTTTGGTTTGTTTTTCATACTCGTTCTGTTTACCTGTGTGTTGTGTTTGTGTGCGGTCAGTGTAATGAATTCGTATTCAAATGCCGAATATTACGAGATGATATTGTGTGTTGGTGCTTGTGACGGTAATCTTGCTGCGGCTCGGCGGCTTTATGACGAGCGCCACGTGTCAGGAAGATCTGAAAACCATCGACGTCTTCCTTCTTACCGGTGCTTCGCGGCACTTGTGAATCGGTTACATACAACTGGTTCATTCCATAGTGTGCTACGGGAAGGCCGGCCGAACACCTATTCCATCGAGACAGAGGATATGATTTTACGTCGAGAGTAACACGGTCTGTGTCGAGTCGAATGGAGATGTGTGTTTTATGCGGTGGCCGGCATATCGAGACTCTGGACTGATAAGGTGGAGGTGAAGTGTAAGGTAATGTTGACAAGTGAGAGCTGAAAGAGTGATTAGAACGCTGCCTCTAGGTATGTACCTGTTTAATCTTAAATCGTTTTGAAAAATGTATCTTAAATTGTTTTAAAATGTATTCTTGGAAACGAGAGAGAGTGAGAGGTAATGAGTGAGAGAGAGAGAGAGCGCGAGTACGCCGGGACGGCACGTATAAGCTTACAGGGTTGTAGCATATTCATTAATAATAATATTTCTTTATTTTTCTCCACAATATCAAAAAATGTACAAAAGTGCAGAGCGTATCAAGGACATCAGAATTTATCGTGGAGACTGGTGCCTGCACTTGAGTGTAAAACCCGTTTTACAGGTCACCAGGCCTCCAACCGGAATATAAGTGTAGATTTTATACACAATTTTATAAAAGTATTCGGATCATCGGCATCCTAACACCAAGTGAAAAGCGACTTTACGGGAGTGAAATATCGATGCCATCCAGGGTATCTAACTCAGATCTGGCTTAGGGCTCGCAATCCACCCGAAAAACTGAATTTCTAGTGACTTTACGAACATTTGTTAGGATCATCGGCATCCTAACACCAAGTGAAAAGCGACTTCACGGGAGTGAAATATCAATGCCATCCAGTGTATTTAACTTAGATCTGGCTTAGGGCCCGCAATTCACCCGAAAAACTGAATTTTTAGTGACATTACGAACATTTGTTAGGATCGGCGGCATCCTAACACCAAGTGAAAAGTGACTTTACGAGAGTGAAATAAAGTGACTCCTCATCAATCTCGCGAGTGGAAACCGCCTTTCTCTCCCGGGCTTTAGGATTGTTAGGATCGGTAGCACCCCCGATTCTTAACAAAGCCCATGGTGCCGTCTAATCGGCGGGCCCGTCAGCGGATGGTCCGGCTGCGGCCGAGTACGCCCCCCTGCTACAAAGAAGGGGGCCCTTGCTGTCACCAAACCACGGAGTATGGAGATTCTCAAGCCTGCTGCTCTCGGACTGCTCGGGGGGGCCCCTCTGAGAGCGCTGATCCTGCCCTGCGGCCCAGCGGGCCTCACCTACACCACCGGCAGGTCGACTGATCGCGCCGACCGCCTTGTGGCGGAGGCTGCGGACCCCCCGCTCGGTCTGCCTGACCTGTGATGCCACACAGCCCAGCTGCTTCAGTTATACCCCGGCCTCAGCCTCAGGTAGGAGAGTTCCTCCTTTTCATTGCCACAACTGCCACAACATGTCCTGTACCGCTTGGAGGGACCCCGCTCATCTTGTTCTGCCGGCCGGAGCGAGGCCCTGGCTGTCGGTGGCCGTCCCCATGTCTGGACTGATCCCTGTCTGCTGCTGCCCGGGATGCTGGCCTGGGACACTGATGCTGGACCGGGCCCCAGTTCGGCTTCTCATACCTGATGCCAGAACATTTACCATTAATGATCAACCATTGTTTCTAATTAGTTACAATTCAAATTTCAACTCATTTTAACTGTACGTAATTGTCTAATCATTTAAGTTAATCTAACTAATCAATTTCAACTACGCAAATTATTATTCTTAACAAATTGTAAATATTATAATAATCAATGGCCAATTTAATTGACCCCATCCAACTTATTTAATTCAATCTAATTTAATTTATTTGGGGTTATTTTATTATTTAATTTAACTTGATCTAGTCCAACCAGAATTTTGATTGTTATGATTGTTAATATCGTTAGGAATGAGAAATTGTACATATCGCTGGTTCTCTAAAATAACGGCATATTTTGGGATCATACAAATTTGAGTTCCATATGTAAGGAGAATGACTGTAAGCTATATTGCCTTGTCAATAAAACTCATATTCCTACAGCTACAATGGGCGGAGTTACGTCACTAATGTCTTTCTGTGATTGGTCGAAACATGACGCCATTTTGGCAAGAAGATCGTCCGATCACCATAAAGTTACAGACTTTCGGAGCAGAAGCATCGCTTTTCTCTGTAAAAAAGGCTCATAACAACATAATCCATCGCTAGTCAGTGAAGTTTATGTAAAATATAGTAGTGTTTGGTGTTGTGCCCGTATTTTCGAGAAGTAAGTAATGATCATTTAATTATTGTTATGTGATTTAATGACCTAGTCCTAAATGTGACGATATTTTTAATAATTTACGAGTTCTTAGTAGGAATATATATGAATGTGTCATTATTTAAGATATGATTTAAAATAGTTCATTAGTTTGGTTACAAAATGTGTCAATATTTTACGAAAATGTAGTTAAAAACAAAAACATAAGTCGTTGTTTCCGATAATATTTTTAAATCTTTGCTCTGATAATTCTTTGATATACCTACGACACTTTTTACACCACTGCCCAAAAAATGAGTGTATTGTGTTTAGGGTTCATGGCTGTATGTATGTATGTTTCTTTATTCCACCATAATATATCTTCTAATAGGCAAAACCGATTTAAACCGAGTGGTCCACCCTGGGCAACGTCTAACGTCTGTGGAGACGGCTAAAGATCCCAACTCGCGGCAGTAGGGCCTGCAAAGGTCCACCTGGGTCGCGACAACCCTTTCAACGGAATCTGACGCCATAACAGTATCATACTGTGTTCCGCTAGTGCGTGAAAGTTCTAGTGCCTTCGGGAAAATTCCAGGTGAGGTCGCTACATCCTCGACCTCGTCATTGCTTTCCTAGATGGGTCATGCATGACTGGAATCAGGACCTCATAAATCTGTAAAAAAAAAGACGACACATTACGTAGGGCTTAACTTGCTTCTATTGATTATTTTTATTTTATGTTTCAGAAATGAATCCCAGAACAAAAAAAAATGTTTGAAACATTAAACATAGAATACGACAAAACTAAAAAAAACAGTTAAAATCTTCTTTTAAAAGTAAAGAAGATAAAGAAAATATAACTAATTCAGAAAACGAGTTTTCATCTGACGACAGTGTTATAGACCCCAATTACAACCAGGATACTAAAAATATTTCTGCCTCTGATTATGACGAATACGAAATTATTTCCAATAAACGTAAATTTGCTAAAAATGATTTACAGTCGAAGAGATCAAAATACGAAAATGATGTTCAACTTGCCCGAAAAACGTCTTACCAACAAAAAAAAGTATCACCTATGATCATCTATGATATACCATCCAATGAAAAAACCACTCCCTTTTTAAGGAATCGTTCTCTGAGTAATTCTTCTTCGAGTGGATCTTCGTCGAGTGGATCTTCGTCGAGTGGTTCTTCGTCGAGTGGTACCTCGTCCAGTGTTTCTACATCGAGTGGTTCTTCACGCAGTTGTTCGCCTAATACCAGGCCTTTGGCAGACAATCAAACCACTGATACTCAGATTTCTGACAAACCTTTGGTGCCCTCATTATCGTATTTGTGCCGAAAAAAAGTATCTGCAAGCAAGACCTCTTCAGGCTCTGAAACCAACACTAACTCATATAATTCTTCATCTCAAAACGAGCTACCAGCAGCAATTAAGGCAGTATGTGAAACACATGTTACTAACCCACAAATGAACGAATTTTTTTCTGTTGAAAGCGAAATACTGCCTGCACATTTACAACAAGATATTGCCGAAGTATCAACATCGCATCTTCATCGTCAAAATGAAGTTTTACGTGAAGTTGAAAATGCGTCACAAAGTACTGATCCGAACAGAAAATCCCGCAAAAAAAAGCGGACCCCAGCAACTGGAGAGCAAATAAAGCAAAACAGTTGAGAAATCTCGGCAAATCCTACGTTCCGGCAAACAGTTCCAAAAACAACAAACGCATAGTACCTGAAAGGTCAGTAAAACCTCCGTGTAATAATAAATGCAAAATCAAATGTCCTGAAAAAATTACAGAATCCCAAAGAATAGCTATTTTTCAAAGCTATTGGGCATTGGGAGATTTAGAAAGACATCGTGAATTTATTGCACGCCATATTACTGAAGTTAAACCAAGATATTCATATAGAATGCATAATAGTAGCCGAGGAAATAATAATGCGTATCATTTAACAGTAAAAAACGATAAAATTCGTGTTTGTAAACATTTTTTTAAGGCAACGTTGGATGTTACAGACCGGCAAATACGTACAGTTGTTCAAAAAGTGAAGGGCAGCTCTTTTGGAGACTTGCTCCTAGATCAACGTGGCAAACATACCAATCACAAAGCTGTTTCTAAGGATATAAAGGACAGCGTATATAATCATATTAATTCAATCCCAAAAATGGAAAGCCATTATTGCCGATCAGATTCTCAGCGTGAATATATTGATGGAGGATGGATAGGACTATCACCATTTGTGTCCATATTTAATGTTATTTTCATAAACTTAAATTGACCTATGTCGAAGTGCATTAACATTACGTTGAATTTCCCTTAAACTACAGACACAGTTTAACACACACTATATTATTAATATTATTTAATAAAATACGATTCAATGTAGCTATCTAGCAATGTGATATGATAATTAGGTATTGAAATATGAGACTGCAAAAATGACAAAAAGTTTAAAACGTTCTCCTGAAAAAATGTAGTTTTTAATATGTGACATTATTTTAGAGAACCAGCGATTTGTTTATGTCCTTTGTGATTACATATTCTTTTCTATATCTATTACATTGGTATTTAGTATTATTGCTATTTTTACTTATTTGTCTAATTCCAATACAATTTCATTTTTATCTATACAATGTTATACTATGGTTATATAATTATGCCACATGTCATTTATTACCCTTGTTGTTTTATTTTATATCCTAGATTGTCTGTCTTATATATTCTTTTATTTCCTAGTCCTGGTTTACTGTCTTTTCCGTTTTTATTATTTTTATTCGAGGTCACTGGGTATATATTCTTTTAATATATGTAGTGTTCCTCTTTCCTTTTTACTGTCATAATTTGTTCTTTGTTTATCAAGTCAGTCCTGTTTTTTATATATACATTTACATATATTTCTTTTGTATTATGTTTTCATAGAATTTTCCATTATCATAATGGATCGTTCTATGTTCTGTGTATTTTGTTTGTGTGCCGGTCTTTTGATTAGGTTGGAATGGTCATCATCCTTTTCCATAATCATCGGACTGTTTTTGTTGGTGTGTTGTTTTTGTTCTGTGTATCTGTTTTTTATAATCGTTTTTTGTTTGTGTATGTTCTTTGTGTATTTTATGTATTTGTGAGTGTCTTGTATTGTTCTGTGGTGTTGTCGATTCCAGTTTTGGTTGGCCTCACTCGTAAGATGTTGTTGACCGAGCGAGGCTGTCCCATTTCTTTCGCACTTTACAGTCACTACTGAATGCGTTGTGTTGGTTGTCTTGTAATTCGGCGTGTGTGCAGTTGCAGCACCGCGGGGGAACTCCTGCTTTTCTGTCTGGGCACTCTGCCCGCAGGTGTAATCCTCCGCAGTGGCTGCATCTGTCCACACTGGGCAAAATTTCTTGCCGTGTCCGTAGTTTAGGCATCTAGTATATTGAATGAGGGGGGTCTGGTCGTCGACCCTCACCCTCTCCATCTCAATGTATAGATGCCCTTTGGTGACCATTTTTTTCCACATTTCTGATGGTACCTGTACGATTATGTGGCATTTTTCATTATTTTTGGTCCTACGTCTATATTTGATTTTTATTACGTCCTCTTCCCGCTGCTCTTCCGTGTAAATGTCGGGATTCTGAGTCTTTATGGCGTTCTTGATTTCGTCGTCCGTCATTTTGAACTTTACCTCCTTTATGATTACTAAGGGGTTTTTGTTTCTCACTCTCTCCGCTTCTAAATACTTACTGCTGCTTATTTTTTCCCTTATTTGTTCCGTTTCTTTCTCGTTTAGACAACTAATAATCACTCTCTGATCCTTAACCTTTCTTATCCTTTCTATTTGTATTCTATTTTTCTCTGGCTCCAATATCTCTTTTGCTCTGCCTATAACCTCCTCTGCAGTGTCAATCTTGTTTTTTGACGTTACAAGTACCGAGTGTAGAGTCCTTTGTCCATGTTGGTTTTTAATTTTTGTAGCTTCTGCATAGGTTTTAACTAATGATGTCCCTTGCTGCGTCGAGGTGTTCCTTTGTGTTGCTGTCTCCATATGGCTCACGATGTCCGTCTTGTTTTCACTCATCCTATCTGTTATCTCCTTTTTTGCCTCTTTGATCTCTTCCTTCATAGTTGTTTCTAGGGCTCCTATTTTATTCATAACTGCGGAGTTATCGTCCGGTGCAGCTCCTCCGTATGTAATTGCGTTATGCAAATCTTGCATACACTCCGTTAGGACTGTGTCGATTGTTTTAGTAATTTCCGCAGTTATCTCCTTCCCTGTCTCCTTTATTTGGTATTCTATATCCTCAGTCGTTCCTATCTCCTTTCCTTTACTTTCCATAGCTGTTCTTCTTCCCAGTCTCTCCCCAATTTTCCGATCTAATTCCAGAGTTTCTGCCGTTATGTTTTCTTCGATTGCTTCTAGCTTTTTCGTTATTGTGGCAGTAACGAATTTGCCATCTTTCAGCGATCTATCGGCCAGTCGATCAAAGAGTACTTCTTCTCCATTTTTTATGTTGTCCATCTTGTAGTCGAGCATTCTCAGAAACTTTACTGTATTGGACTCGTTGTCTTCTCTTCTTCTATTTTCCTCCTCCCTATATTTCATTTGTGTCTTTTGTTGTTCTTCTATTTTCCCTTTTATACTTTCCATTTCATTCATCATCATTCTCTTCATTTAATTCATCTGTTCTCTCATCTCCTCTCTTTCCTTCATTTTTTCCTTTTCTTTTATTCTGTCTTCTTCCTTTTCTGCTATCCTATTGCTAATTTCGAAAAGTGTAAGTAAGCCTGTTTCCGCTGCTTTTTCCAGGTAGTCCTTCACCTCTCTTTTCATAGATCCGTATAATTGATCCGGTATGTTCTCCATAATGCTCATTACTTTGTGTAATAATTGTTCTAGAGTTTTTGTATCCCTCTCTCCTCTTTTGTGAATCTCCATTATTTGTTGTGATCTTCGTTTTCTGTCTTGTGATTTTAAAAATGTTTTTCCTGCATCGTTTTCTATTTTTATTTGATTTTCTCGTTTTATGGTGAGGGGTACTAGCTTTCTTTATATTTTTGTTAGTTTTAACTAATGTTATGTTCACTTCTATTTTTATTTCAGATGCGGTGGTGCTGCCTGGAAGGGGGGGTGGACTTCTTTTTACTAATCAACATATTTGTAAGTGTTTATGTTAGTGTTGTTTTGTGTTGTTGTGTTGTATGTATATGTGTTTATGTTAGTGTTGTATGTGTGTTTATTTGTTATGTGTAATTGTATGTGTGTGTGTGTGTGTGTGTGTGTCTGTGTATTGTGTTTTATTTAATTTTTAGGTAATTGTATATGAGATAATATTAAATCCTCAATTATTTGATTTATGTTTAAAATGTAAGTTTGTAAAAGTTTTATAGCAAGATAATGCAACACTCAATATTTTTTTTTTTAAATGTACCCAATTTGGGACGTAAAAAAATCCAACAAAGAGGATGAACGTCGCTAATTAAGTCAATAATTATTTTTTAATTATAAGAAATTTAAAATCCCAATAGGGGGTGGACGTCACAATGTCAATATTAACAGTTAAATAATAGTCAAAGTAAATAAATTATTTAAAAGCCCAAAAGGGGGTAAAACGTCTCAAAGTCACTTATAATTGGGTTAAAACTTAAAACTAAGTGTGGTACAGTGGTGGTCTCACGTGCCTATCCACTTCAAAATCTCGTTCGCTTGGCACACACTTGATGCAATTTTAGGGGGCGGAGTTACGGGCGCATTTTCATTGGTCGTAGTATTTTACTATGACCAATCAGCATGGCTCTACGTATGCAACAAATACAATGAATGCAATTACAGTGTTGTTATTTTTTTAGTTTAGTCGCTTTTTGCATATTGCTAATTGTTGACGTGCTCACTCTGGATTTTCATTTAACCTCCGCATTCTCATTGGACTGATACCTGTTAATACCTGACCACTGTGTTAGAAACTGGACTTTTGATTTGCTTAACGTGACCTTGGCTTGAATTTGGACCATGTCTTCGAGGAACCTCTCTATACAAGAGAGGAGTCGTACCGTCGCATTACGTGAAGATGGAATGAATATTAACGAAATATCCAGAGAGCTGGGATTGACGGTAAGTGTAACATGAAAATGAAAATGAAAATGAAAAATGTTTATTTCGTTAAGCATGAGTTTTAACAATAGTCAGAGGTTGACATGCCCCTATTAAATGTAAAATACATTTGTGCCAGGAGCAGCCACACTCCCATAACATGTATAGGTTTATTATATTTGTACGTATAAAATTTAAACATTTGTGGGCTACAAGAATTGAATACTAATCATTTATTTCAACAGACTAAGTTCTGTAACAGATCTTGATTAAACTTAAACAAGAATGGTAGGTACAACTTTTAAAATTTACATAGGAACTTCTAACTTAACATCAGGAATTTAGAATTTAACGTTAGTAACTTGAATAAACATAAGGAATTTAACATTTAGGAACATTCAATTTAACATAAGGAACTTTACTTGAGCAAAATATAGCTAAATATAAATACAAATCTATCTATCAGGTTTAACAATAATGTCTTCAGTGTCATCATAATTTAACGTTTTAAGCCAACTAGTTACAATTCTTTTACATTCATATGTAGTCCTCATGTGGATATTCAGATATTTATTAACAATGATGTACAGATGTGTGGCTTGATTAGTAAGTTGGTGCTTAGCAAAATAGGTTTTACATATTACTGATTTTGCTACATTTCCAAACCTTCTTTTATGCATAATAGTGGTATCAACTGGTAGTTTCCTATGTTTATATAAAATAGTGTGTAAAATGAATAGTTGACGAACAGTAAGTACATCAGCCAAAGCGTAAAGAGCCTGAGTTGAGAACAAACGTCTTTTAAAATACATAATTTTGAGTAGTAACCTTTGTGCCCGTTCAACCTCAAGAAATTTAACCTTGGATGCACCACCCCAAACTGGTATACAGTAAATTATTATAGATTGCACAAGGGCAATATAAACCTTGTTCAGGAGATCTGCGTTAGCAGAATATCTAAGTTTATTAAAAATCCATAACATATTCCTGACTCTGCCAGTGATTAGTTCCAAATGATGGTGCCATGCGAGATGCTGATCAATCATGATACCCAGATATTTACAGCAAGTAAGTTTATTTAATGCAGAACAGTCACAATTACTATTGAAGTCAGGATAGTCACAGCTATGAATCTTTAGACTATAGTTAAGTGGTTGGGTTCTTCGATTAATGGTATAGCAGATAAAGTTAGTTTTAGTTGTGTTTAGGGTCAACAGATTATGTCTTAGCCAAAGGGCAGTAGTAGCAAGAGCCGATTCAGCATCCCTTCTTACAACATCCCAGGAACTACCCGTGATAACCATAGCAGTATCATCAGCATAGGAGAAGATCTTTGTGCCCCCAAGCTTCATCTCACAGAGGTCATTAATGTAAATAAGGAATAAGGTAGGACCTAAGACTGAGCCCTGTGGTACACCACAGGGCAATGCTGACTCATCACTAATGAACTGACCTATCTTCACCCGTTGTCGCCTGTCATCAAGATAGTCCCTGAATAAGCTCAGTGGTGTACCTCTGATGCCAGCATATTCCAACTTCTGCATAAGAATGGGAACAGAGACGGTGTCAAACGCCTTTTTGATATCAAGAAATATCGCAAGACATTTGCCTCCACTGTCCAACTGGTTAACAATCAAAGATGTAAGAGCCATTACCGCATCCTGAGTTGATTTACTGGACTGAAAACCATATTGCGAATTTGATATAATACTGTACTTATTAAGATAGTCAACAAGTCTCCTATTAATTAATTTTTCCAAAATTTTGGACAATGAAGGCAGTACAGAGATAGGCCTGTAGTTGTTTGCATCGGCTCTGCTCCCACTCTTATGAACTGGTGTGACAACCGCAAGATTTAACAGCTTAGGGAATCTACCATGCCTAAAGCAGATATTTGCCATGTGGGAGATAAGAGGAACTAAAATGGTGCTGGCAAGTTTCAGAAAACTAACAGGAATCTGGTCCCATCCTGCGGCACTTTCAGATTTAAGACTCATGAGAACTGCGTGCACTTCTTGCGGGTCAGTGTCCATTAGAACAAAAGATGTAAGTTGTTGTTCGTACGAAAAACGGGATAAAGATAAAGCTTGTGTGCTACTCAATGGATTAATATCACTAGACAGTTCCCTACCTACACCTGCAAAGAACCTGTTAACATGATCAACTGACTCATCCGGAGTTGACTTAACATTCAAAAGTTTACTACTGTCATTGTTGTCTATTGGTGTGAGTGATGCTCCTAATATTTCGCCAAAGACATTTAGAATTATTTATTGATTTTTCTAAAAGCTGTTTTTCATAATTATATTTTAATTTTCTAATTAACTTTTTACAAAAATTACGATACCGCCTATAGGTGACTGCAAGAACACTATCATTGGGATTAGATCGGAGCTTCTTCTGCATATTATTCCTATTTCTAATGCAGCGCAATATACCAGGTGTCATCCAAGGCTTGCTGATTCGTTGACTTTTTGGTATAACTTTTAAAGTGGTATTTTCTTTTAAAGCCTGTGTAATTTTTGTGATCAAAGTTTCAGCTATAATATCAGGGTCATCAAGATGCAGAATTTCTAATAGTTTCATGTTGTTCAAACTAAACAAAGCTCCGTCATAGTCAGTGACAGATGCAATTTTACGAGCATTAGATTTTACATTTAAATTTTTAAGATGTAAAAAGGTCATACAGTGATCAGTAATAGAAGTGTTCAATATGGTAACCCTAGCAAGTGACCTGTTTCTGACCAACTTAAGCATAATGTGATCCAGACAACTACTGTTTCTAGTGGGGAGGCAGTGACCCTGCAAAATACCATGGGAACTTAACATACTAAGATAGTCAAGCCTATTTTTCCTCGTGTAGCTCGTTTCACCTGGATCATGTATGAGGTTGATGTTAATGTCACCCGCCAGTAAAATGCATTTATGGTTTTTAATTAAATTAAGATGATCATTTAAGGAACAGATGAATTTATCAGCACTAACATATGATGGTGATCTGTATATCGCTAGTATTATAAAATTAGGACATTCAATTTGCAGACATGAAGCGTCTTCCAAAAAAGCTTCTACTACATTAACTGTGATGTTGTCTTTAACATAGGCAATCACCCCGTCATTCTGGTTAAGGTAGCGGGTACTGGGATGAGTAGTATAATTTGGCAGGCCAGGAATAGGTTTATTCACGTTATTCCAGCACTCAGTCAAAATAACAAAATCGGGATTAAATTTCAGTTGGGTTAGTGAAAGTAATAAATTATCATAATTACGGTAAATGCTTCTGATGTTTTGTGCTATTAGAGTAAGGTCATTATTATCAATTTTTATAATTTTTTGTAAATTCTCAATATCACAGACCGATACATCGGCAACACTAGACTCATCTAGGTCATTTAGTATATTTAGAGTGTCAGACATTAAAAACTCATTAAGAAAAGACTGGACAAACTGTTAATGATATTTAGTTGATATATGAGATATTGGATATGACCATGTGATGAGTTAATAAGACAGTTACACACTTTAGTAAATAAAATCAAAATGTTCTCAGTAAAGACAGTTAAATACTG